CGTCTGATTGATTTTCACCACTATGAGGGAACAAGAGCCGTGAATTTGCATAGCACTGGGGACTTGGTAGGAGGAAGATTGGTGCTCATTGACCTTACCCTCCAGTGTCTGGGAGGGAGGAGTATCATGTTGAGTGAGCAGCCAGGAGCCCCCCGCCCCTGACTCAACACCAAACCTTGAAGCACCGTGTGAGCCTGGCAGAATTTGGGAATCGTTTAGGGATCAGGTGCATCTTCCTGCCGTGGCTTGTTGACTGTGAGCCTTCCTGGTAGGTTAATGAATGAGTTCAGCCCACAGATGTTTATGGAGTTGCTCCTGCAATGCAGGCCAACCGGAGATCAGCAAACAAGCGATGAGGATGTGGACAGGCTCTGTGGGGGGCAGCACCCCCTGTAGGTGGGCTCCGGGCAGGGCTCGGAGGGGGCACACTAACTGACCATTAAAGTACCAAGCAGCCTGGGCGTGGTGGCTCACACCTGTAATCCCAGCACTTTTGGGAGGTCAAGGCAGGAGGATCTGTTGAGCCCAGGAGTTCAAGAGCAGCCTGGGCAACATAGTGAGACCACCATCTCTAAGAAAAAAAAAAAATTAGCCAGCATAGTAGCATGCGCCTGTAGTCCTTGCTACTCAAAAAGCTGAGGTGGGAGGGTCACCTGAGCCCAGGAAATTGAGGCTGCAGTGAGCTATGATCACACCATGGCACTCCAGCCTGGGTGACAGAGTGAGACCCTGTCTCCCCTACCATAAAAATCACCAAGCAATGTGTCATGTTGATTAAAATAGTCGTGTGGCCTGGAATTTAAAATGAGATCCTCTTCCCTTCCAGGCCCACCTCTAAGAGGCACCATTGTTAACCATTTCTGACTTTCGTGTCTTATATTTATCAACTTCGGTAGGTAACTGCTGTGAAAAACAAAGACTGTAGTGCATGCAGGGTACGCCCCCCACCTCCTGTTTCTTCTTAGTCATTTAGAATGTGAACATTTTGCTCTGAAACTACAATGAAATCTTTTACACGTTACTGTTGGTGCTAAAACACTGGCAAAAATAACTTGTGCTATAAATGAGTCTTTGAGTTTCTCCTAGAATCAAGGACTAAGCGCACTGAAAGGGAATCGTAAACTGACATGCTGTTTCCCAGAGAAGGCTTCCTGGGCGAACTGGCCTAGCTGAGCACTGCCATCTCCTCTCCAGCTTCCTTCACCCCCAGGGACCTCGAGGGTCACCCTGGGTGCATGTTTTTCTGTTGTGTTGTGTTGTGTGTTGTGGAAACATTTCTTCTGGGAACTTGTTCCACCTAGACTGCATGGGAAGTTAACTTTGAGCTCCTGCATGTCTGAAAATGAGTCCGGGCCGCCTGGCTTCGTGTCCATTTGGCAGGGTATAGAATTCCGAGTTAGCACGTTGAGGACACTGTCCCCGCCACCTGCACCCAGTGTCTCCTTTTGGAGTCACTGCTCATCTGGGCCGTCTTTTGTGGATAGGACTTGCTTGGGGTGCTGACATTTCACTAGAACAGCCTGGAGGTGGGCTGTTCATTTACTCTGACCTGGCCTTGGTGGGCCGTTTTATTCTAAATCGTTCTCCTTCCAGCTCAGGGAAATGCTATTCTACCATCTTTTTATACTTCGTGGTTCCTGTTCCTAGAACCCTTTTGACATAGTTTGACTTCCAGGCGGTTCTTCCATGTCTCTTAATGTTTCTCTTCTATTTTCTTTCTTCTACTTCTCTCATTTGGTCTTTGGATCTTTTTCCTTTTTTTGTTTTTACATATGAAAAATTGAAGGGTAATTTGCATGTAATGAAACACACAGAACTTATGTGTGCAAGTCGAGCTCTGACAAACGCACATAGAGGTGCAGCTCACGTGTGCTGTTATGATGTGGAACATGTCTCTCTCACCCCCGACCCCGAGATCTCTTGGCTCCCACTTCTACCCACCCCAGAGGCAACCATTATTCTGATGGCATCCCCCAGATATTAGTCTGTCTTTTCCAGAGTTTCACATGAAGATGGGGTCCTACCGGACATAGTCTTTTGTTTGGCCTCTTTTGTTCGGTGCGATGCTTTCGGCCTTCCCCTCTGCTGCTGAGAGGCAGGAGTGTGCTCCTTTTGGCTGCTGAGCCATGACCCCATTTGGATGGGTGCAGCACGGTTCATTCACCTGGCCCCAAACGTTTTTGTGGTTTCCAGGTGGGGCTAGGATGAATTATGCTGCTTCCAGTATCCAAGTCCATTTTTTATGGACTTATGTTTTCCTTCCTCCCAGATGGATCCTGGGAGGGGAGTGGCTGGACACAGAGCAGGTGTGAACCCTGCCAAGCCGTCCTCTGAGGGCTGCACCACCTGAACTGCTGGCAGCAGTGTGCCAGGTGGGGCTCGCTGTTCCCCAGCCTCCCCAGCAGCTGGAAGTATCCATCTTTTTTTTTTTTTTTTTTTGAGATGGAGTCTCGCTCTGCCGCCTAGGCTGGAGTGCGGTGGCGCGATCTTGGATCTTGGCTCACTACAAGCTCCGCCTCCTGGGTTCACGCCATTCTCCTGCCTCAGCCGCCCGAGTAGCTGGGACTACAGGCACCGGCCACCACGCCCAGCTAATTTTTTTGTATTTTTTGGAGAGGCAGGTTTCACTGTGTTAGCCAGGACGGTCTCCATCTCCTGACCTCATGATCCGCCCGCCTCAGTCTCCCAAAGTGCTGGGATTACAGGCGTGAGCCACCGCGCCCGGCCGTATCCGTCTTTTAATTTAGCCTTTCTGGTGGGTGTGGGGTATATCTCAGTGTGGTCTTTGTTGGCATTTTCCCAGTGACTGATGATGCTCAGGCACTTTCCGTGTGCTGTTGGCCATTTCTGTGTCTTTGGTGAAGTATCTGTTCACATGTTTATTACTGAATTTCAGGAGTTCTCTATACATTCTGGATCTGAGTCCTTTGTCAGATATATGTATTGAGAATAGTTTTTCCCAGTTTGTGACTTGACTTAAATAAATAACCATTTTTTTGGAGATGGGGTCCCGCTGTGTTACCCAGGCTGGTCTCGAGCTTCTGGGCTCCAGCCATCCTCTGCCTCAGCACCCCGAGTAGCTGGGACTCAGGCGTGAGCTACCGCACCTGGCTTAAAGAGTCGTTTTTGATGAGTAGAGCATTGTTTGCATTTTATTGTCTGGATTAAACATGAACTTTTTTGTACGCAATGTTTCACTGGATTGTGGAATATCTTATTTCTAAAATAACACTGAGCTTGTTAGGAAAGGCAGTCCCTATCCCTGTGTTAATTTGCAAGAGCTCTTTCTCGAGTGTTCCTTTCTCAATAGAAGCTTGATTTTACTTACTTGTGTCAACTTCTTGAGTCTTTATGGGAACATTAATTAGATGTTTTTGAGAGTTGCCGTTGGTCTCTGAATTCTTTGTTTTCTCGGTTGGCCCCATCACGACAGTGGCTTCTCTGGGTATTGCCTGGCCCTGTGGTGATAGTCACCACGAAGTCCCATACTGGAGTGAAGGGGCGCATGAGGGTTCTTGCTGTGGGGAGGGGTCTGGCGGGTTGATGGAGGAAGAAGGGTCTCATGGCCGTGGCCGCATTTGGGATGTAATTTTTTTCCCCGAGATGACCCTTGTCGCGATCCTGCCGCCCGCTTCTCCTCTCTGCTTTGGAGTCTGGCTTGCTTGACGTTCTTTGGGCCTTTCCGGAAGGATCCAGGGGTCTGGGCTTGCCTTTCCTTTCACTCTGATCTCTCCCCTCATCAGTCCAGATTTCCTTGCTTTCTGTCTGTTTAGAATTCCCTGGAATTGTGCTGTTCCGTGTTCAGTTATGTTTCTAGTTTCCTTCTGAAAATACACGTTTCTTTTCTGACGTTCTCATGGGAATGGTGGCACGGAGGCCGGCATTGCTCCATGGGCTCATTGGACCAAGACAAGGAGTTGATCCTGGGGGCAGGATCCCGGGTGGAGGTGAGAAGGGCATGGCATGTGTGCAGCAGGAGGAGAGTCCTTGACTGGGCCTTTGGACATGGCTATCACCTCGTGAGGGGAAGTTGGAAGCACATGGAGCCTTCAGGACCATGTGGGCTCCCTGGATTTATTCTGAACCCTCTGTGGAGAGAATCTGTTGAAGTATTTGGGGGAAGGGAAGGGCCAGGATCCAGGGGGACTGCAGTGAGGAAGGAGGTGGGAGACAGGGTGGCGAGGGATGGGTGACGGGAGTCAAAGGGGAGAGGTGGAGGTTGGGCAGGCGGCGGGAGGGTGGCCGGTGCTGGGGCATGTTTGAATGTGGTGCCCGGGGTTGGTGGTCCCCTTGTGGGATGGTGGGTAGAGCGGGCGTGTGGGGTATGCACCTGACCAGGGCTCCCGGGTGATGATGGTCGTGTTTGTTTGCTGTTTTCTATTGTAAACTTAGGTCAGTGATTGGTTCTGCTGGCTTGTGTGGACACAGTGGGCCAAAGGTCTGGGGAGGTAATCTGCTGTGTCCCTCCTGCACTGGAGGGCCTGGGCTGCCCTCTGGGCTGCTGGCTGGTCAGTTTGTCTCTGCTGGGGCTTTTCTCTTCCCTCCATTCTCAGCTGTTGTCTCAGTCACCTGTCCACGTCTCCTCTGTTCCAATCTACTGGGCCCTGAGCACTTCCTCCGAGTTGTGTATACATTAGAAGTAAACTGATGGTTCATTCTTTTCACAAACACACAGAATGGGAGTGATTGTGGAGGAGGCAAAGGCCTTAGAGGTGTATTTTTGGGAGAGGTGCTCAAGTGTGGCTGTGTGGATTTACGAGACCTTCGGCTTCCTAGGATGTCTTTTTGCTGAGGTTCCTTTGTGGGGGCTGTGTCCAGGGTTGTGGGGGCCTAGGAGTCAGCAGTTATGGTGCCAGTGTCTGCGTGCGCCTCTGTCGTAGCCGCTCAGCTGCCTGTGGGTACGGGAAGGGCTGGTCCTACTGCGCCGCTGGGATGTGACACCGCCGTGTCCCCTCCTGTGTCCCATCTCTTGCTCACTTAGCATGTCTCTGGCCCTCTAGGACCGGAAGCTCACCAAGCTGGAGCGGCAGCGGTTCAAGGAAGAGGCTGAGATGCTGAAAGGCCTGCAGCACCCCAACATCGTGCGCTTCTACGACTTCTGGGAGTCTAGCGCCAAGGGCAAGCGGTGCATTGTGCTGGTGACCGAGCTGATGACCTCAGGGACACTGAAGACGTAAGCTCCGCTTCCAGAGGGCTGGGGCAGGTCCTGGCATGGGTACAGGGCCACCATAGCTGGGGGTGAGGTCTTGGGCTGCTGGGGCGGTCCTGGCTGGTGCCTGTGGGAGGCTGTCTCCTCTTTCCTCTCCTGTGTGGGATGCCAGGAGGTGCTTGACTTCCCAGGGAGATGGTTGATGTGTCTCTGGTGTCTGGGCCTTGTTTCTGGCTGGGGTTCTGTTTCCGCCTGGGAGCCAGCCCGGCACATCCTCAGGCTCAGGACGCAGGCTGGGCAGGGTGCACAGTGGGGACTGTGGGATTCTGAGGACGTGGAGGTGGTTAGCGAGGGTTGGGGAGTGGGGAGTGGGGTGGCCACGGCAGCTCGTTGCTGCTCACTAAGCCCCTAGTCTGCACTGTGGGGATGGGGGCTCCCCGCCTGGTGCTGTATCCTGGGTCCACCTGAATCGTTGGACCCTGCAGCCTTAGGCAGGGCTTCAGTGCCCCTCAGCCAGGCGGTTTCCCTCATAGGTGGATGTGCTGCAAGGAGAGAGCCTTTTCTCAGCTTCACCCACCACCTCCTCCTAGGTCACAGCTCAGGGCAGGCCACACAGGTGGCTAGTGGCAGGGAGAGCCCCACCTGGCCCCTGTGGTTCTAACAGGCCCTGGGCTTTCGTAACCCTCACCCCCGCACCTGAGCATCTGCTGGCCGGGACTCTGTCCTGCCTTGGGCAACTTGTAAGTCAGCCTGGCACCGTCTCCCCATGAGGCCAAGATGGAGCTTAGTATGAGCTTTAGCAGCCAGGTCCTTGGCATGAGGGGAGCAAGAGGGTCGTGAGCCCACCCTGCTGCCTGCTCAGGGGCCTGGCTCCAGGGCAGAACTGTCCGGCCTTCCCATCTCACCTTCACTACCTGTCGCAGGTGTGCGTCGTGTGCACTGGAATGGACTTCCTGAGCAGTGTTAGGTGGGGGCTTTGCTAGGGGGCCGCTGCCGGTGAGCTGCTTGGTGAGCTGTGCCTGTGCACCCCTGCAGGTACCTGAAGCGGTTCAAGGTGATGAAGCCCAAGGTTCTCCGCAGCTGGTGCCGGCAGATCCTGAAGGGCCTGTTGTTCCTGCACACGAGGACGCCGCCCATCATCCACCGAGACCTGAAATGCGACAATATTTTTATCACCGGACCAACTGGGTCTGTGAAGATTGGCGACTTGGGCCTGGCCACTCTCAAAAGAGCGTCATTTGCCAAAAGTGTGATAGGTAAACCTGCTTCCCCTCCCCAGGCCCTGGGAGCCCATGAGAAGCCGGGCAGTGTTCAGGGCTGGCGAGCATCCAGTTTTGTTCAGACCTGGTGCAGGAGACCCAGTGGGAGGAGCGTCTGGGCACGGGAGCCTCAGGCCGGGGTGTCTGGGCTACGCCGCCAAGCCTTTGGTAGCTCAGCTGGAGGGCCTGCCCACTCGTTGGATTCCCAGGCCACTTGGGCTGGGACAGCTGACTTGGCTCCCTCCCTCCCCTGCTGCCCCCGCCTTGTCCGACTCTGGCCCCAGATGGTCTTTGTGTTCCCTCCCTGGCTTGGGTGCCAGCTCTGATTGTCTAGCAGGGGAGGTGGGCTGGGTGCCGATGCTCGCGGTATGTGTGGGCGCTGTGGGCACTCGGGAGAGGGAAGCTGCCCTGACCACAGAGGAACTTGGGAAGTTTGTAGCCAGTGATGCTGCAGCTGTCTCAGTGGGCAGGAAGGGGCCACCCAGGCTGTGAGGCCCGAGACAGTGAGAACTTGGAGTATCTGGGGAATCCACATACCTGCGGAGCGGGGCACACAGCAGGCGCTGTGCACAGGGGAACAGGGCGCCGAGTAATTAATTCAGTTTGTTGGGCATTTCAGGCCTCGGTGCAGGCGCCCTTCCTGTGAGAAGCCTTCCCAGTCTTCCTTTGGGCTGAGATGCCCTCGACCCTAGGGACAGCTTCTTTGCAGAGACCAGGGGTCTGCGTTGTGCCATGTGCCTGGTCCCACGTGTGTTCCTGGCACAGTGGGTGTGAAGTGTCCACTGGTCCTGGGTGGGGCCTCCACGGACTTTGAAAAGATGCCTGGGTGGTCGTGGAGCAGCTGTTTCTGGGGTCAGGATGATGGGAAAGCTCCAACATGTGCAGGGCAAGAAGCATGGGTCAGGGCTCAGGAAGCCCAGATGGGACCCGATCGGATTAGACTGGGAGAGGCTCCCTGATTTTAAGACCCAGTGTGCCCCTAATGTGAGGGCAGGACAGTGAGCAGTCGATCTTGGGGCTTTGTGAATTCTTAGTTCTGCTGCATGTTTGGGGACAGAACTTGGCAGGTATGGGGAAAATGAGACTCCAGAGCTGCTTTGGTTTGGGAAGTGTCTTCAGAATGTGACATCTGGGGCAGGGTGGCTGCCCGGGGGTGGCCCTGTGGACACAAGGCCTCTGGCATTCTGGGGGAGCTGAGTGGTGGGGCATAGGGGCTGACCCAGGGTTCAGTTTCCCCATCTGTGAAGTGGGTGTATGGGTGAGGGTCTCCACTCCCTCCTGGAGGGGCTGAGAGCAGGGGCCCAGGACCGTGGAGAGCCCATTCCCCAGGGCTTTGAGCTCTGCACACTTTCTGGGCAGATTTTGCAGGTTTGGCCTCGGAAGTGGTAGGAACCCAGGTCTCAAACCCCGGGCGCAGTCGGGTGGCAGGAGGGAGGCTTGGGATCTCCCACTCAGGAGTCAACACTCCTGGAGGAAGAAGCACAGCCCACTGTGAAGCGGCCGCCCTGCCAGAGCCCCTCGGCTTCCTCCGGCTGGGTGGCTCTTTGCCCTCTTGGAGATGAGGTTTTGAGTTGCTGGATTGGGTTGAGATGAAGGCCAGGTGTTTCCAGCAGGCACAGTGCGGAGACCTTGTGACCCGCATGGTTGCCTGGCTCTGTGGGCTGCCCCTTGTCACGCCAGCTTTTGCTCTGCTGGAGTCCAGGAAGCTCTGGTTAGAGAGGCTGCAACCAGGGGTGTCCTCAGCTGCTCAGGCTCCTAGAGAATGAGGCTGTGTTGATGTGACACCCCGGGGCTCTGGGCAGTAAGGCCAATCTTCAGCAAGGGGCCAGCAGCTGGCAGGGGTGGAAGTGGGGGACTGTGGCCAGATCGGGGGTTCCCCTTAGGCCCTATTACCTAGGTGTCCCCCAGCTCCTATGAATGGGAGCCCCAGATCTATTTATAGGAGCCCCCCAGGCCTGTTAGTAGGGCTCCCCTGGCCTGTGAATGGTGTTGGCTTCGGCAACCCACAAGTGCTGGCCCTGGTGGTAAAGGGGACCAACCCTCCGGGCGTCTGTGTCCTTCTGGGATGCATGGTCCTGTTGGAAGGACAGCCTCAGGCCATAGGCCCCTGTCTCCTCAGGAGGAGGGCCCTCCCTGCTCACCAATGAATGCCCTTGGGGCAGTTGGTGCTGTGGGCCCCTTTCAGCTGAGGCTCTCAAGGTCTCCTCTTGCAGACAGGAGAGGAGAGCAAGTAGGCGTTTGGTTTTCACTTTACGTGTGGCCTGTGCGAGGGACCAGGGTCAGCCACCGGCTTCCCAGGGCTGCTCTGGGAGGGACCTGGGTAGATTGAGGGAGACAGGGTCCCTGTGCCCAATGTCATTCTCATTGTGAGGGCCCCGACCATGACCCTTGGGCCTAGCCATGTGAATGAGCAGGGTCTTGCGTGCCTCAGAGGTGCCCTGCCCACCTGGGAGGGCTTCCTGGAGGAGGTGATGATGGAAGCAGATCCAGTGGTGAATGAACTGAGGAGGGGCCAAAGTGAACCGAGGGTGGTTAAAGCAGAAAGAGCCACCGGCTGCCCTGGATGATGGGAGGGGTTGGGCTGTTGAGTGGCTGTGGCACTTTATCCAGACCCTCTTTGCATCCCCTAAGCAGCACTCAGGGGGGCTCCAGGCAGTGGAGCTGTTGCTGCCAGCAGGTGCTGCCTGCTCACCTGCCCCCCTGAGAGCCCGCGAGGTGGGTTCTGCCTGTCTGGTGAGAGGAAGGATGAGGGCCGTCTGTGTTGGTTTGGTTTTAATAGAAATGGTGAAGATAGTTAGGGCTAAGGAATCTTTTGATTTCCCTAAAGAAAGTCATTGGTCTTTCGTTACAGATCTGGAAACAAGCAAACCCTAATGCAGGGTGGTTTTCAGGGGATACAAGGTGATTTTGGCACGAGGCTGGAGTGGGTCCCTCCCTCCTCTTATCTGGCCAGAAGCAGGGACCCCACCCTCCAGGAACCGAGACTGCCTAGTAACCACAGAGGGCTGAGCCACAGCCGTGCCAGAGCCCTTATCTGCCTGCGGCAGGAGGGGTCTGGGGAGGGGGCTGTGTGGGGCCTACACTGCCAGTCGGCACAGGCAGGCCCTGGCCTGGCTGAGGGAGACAGAGCCCTGACATCCTGACTTTTGCACAGTTGTTTGCAGGGACTTCAGGTGCAGATGAATGTGCAGAGGGGGCTGCGGGCAGGGGTGCCCCATTGGGTGGCTCTGCAGCTGATGGCTGTCCACGGAGTTGGGGGCAGTGGGTGAGACTGTCCACTGGACACACACATACACGCCCATTTTTAGAATTCAGATTTAAGTGACTGCAGTTTGAGGGAAAGATAAAAAGAGTCTGAGTGCGTCAGTGTCTGAGCACCAGCGTCTGAGCATGTGCAAGAGTGGGCTTCATGAGGGGGTCCCTGTGCCCCCACTCAGAGCTGCCCCTATATCTGTGATCCACCCCTCAGAGCCAGGTTGTCTGGGGCCTTGGAGTAGTTCCTACAGAGTAGCATCCTTGGTTCCTGATGGTCTCAGAAGAGCTGGAGCCCAGGGACACTGTCACCTCTGTTAGACCCCCCAGTACTGGGCTGGCAGCCAGGCCATTGGGGTCCTTGCAGGTGCCAGAGAGTGGCTGGCTCAGCTCCTGGCTTCCTGCCCAGCAGCCCTGGGGTTGGGGCTCCCTTGAAGCTTTTTCGTGCATACAGATATGGCCGGGCTGAGGGCCTAGGATGTGGCTGTGGGGCTCCCCGTCATACCCTCCTAGCAGGAAGGAGCTTTGTAGAAGTCCCTCTCTGCAGTCACAGGGCTGGGGTAGCGTGGGTGTCATTGTGGACAACCGAGGTGGCCCTGGGGAGTGAGTGCTTCCCACCTGTGGCTTGGGACTTTCCCCTGAGTCAGCCGTCACGTCTCCCTGTGTGCCCGCTGCCATTAGGAGGGCCTCCTTGGTGGCTGTGGCAGGTCCAGGCCCATGCAGCAGGCAGTGAATCCCTCCAGGTGGCTGCCAGGGGACCCCTGGACACATCAAGAGAGTGGGAGAGGACAGGGAGCAGGTGTTCATGTTGTGGTCAGGCCAGGCTCCCAGCCACAGCTCAGGCCACTTCCTTTTGTGGCATTTTTGCTTCCTGCTCCAACAGGGCCGCTATTTAGTGAGAAGCTTAGGAAAGGAAAGAAACTTAAAAATATTAACTTAAAAATTATCAGTACAGGGCCTGGCACAGTAGCTCATGCCTGTAATCCTAGCACTTTAAGAGACTGAAGCAGAATTGCTTAAGCTCAGGAGTTGGAGGCTAGCCTAGGCAACACAGTGAGACCCCTGTCTCTACAAAAAAAAAAAAAGAGAGAAAAAAAGAAGGAAAGGGGAAGGAAGGAAAGAGAGAGAGAAAAAGAGGGAAAGACAAAGAAAGAAAGGAAAAAAAGATAAAGAAATTAGCCCAGCGTGGTGAACACCTGTGGTCCTAGCTACTTGGGAGGCTGAGGTGGGACGATTGCTTAAGACTAGGAGGTCAGGGTTGCAGTGAGCTGTGTTCATGCCACTGCACTCGAGCCTGGGCAACAGAGCACGATCCTGTCTCAAAAAAAAAAAAAAAAAAAGGCTAGTGCAGCAAATTTTCAGTATAATCATGTGGTTGAAAAACCCAAAAGGATAAAAGTTTCCAGCACCAGGTCCCTCCACTCAGCTCCTGTTGTTTCTCATGGGTTCTTCCAGAGTTCTGTGTGCATAGACTGAAATCTAAACGATATTCTGGTCCCAATTTTTATCTAAAACGTTAACTTTAAAAAAGAGTGGCCAGGCATGGTGGCTCACACTTGTAATCCCAGCCCTTTGGGCACTTTGGGAGGCCGAGGCAGGCAGATCGTTTGATGTCGGGAGTTCGAGAACAGCCTGGCCAACATGGTAAAACCCCATCTCTACTAAAATACAAAAAAATTAACTGGGCATGGTGGCGGACGCCTGTAGTCCCAGCTACTTGGAGGCTGAAGCAGGAGAATTGCTTGAACCTGGTGGGTGGAGGATGCAGTGAGCCAAGATCGCGCCCTTCCATTCTAGCCTGGGGGACAGAGCGAGATTCCGTCTCAAAAAAAAACAAAAAGTAACACATTTTAAATTGAAATGACGGGTAAACAAAACATGTGCTTTTAAAACGCACTAATTAGTTAGCATGAGCTTTTAAAAAGAAACTAGAACATTTTGAAGACCTTCCAAAGTCAACAAATATCCAGACATTAAAAACATCCGTACTGAAGTCTCTAGTCGCCTTTCCTTGCATTCAGCGTGACAGACACGCACCTGGACTTATGTTAATAAAAAGGCCTTTCCAGTTACTGTGTTATGAATGCAAAAGCTTATTATAGAGAATAGAGAAACCCCAGACCAATATAAGTAAAAGAAAAATCAGCGCTCGCGCCCGCAGACATCATCTTGCCCTGGGAGTTTGGTTTTGCACAGGTGAGACCAGCCGGCACGTCTAGCCTCATGATCATTTTGCTCAGCCTATGGTAACTTCGCCACGTCCTTAAAACTTCAGTCAAGACACTGTTTGTGCATCTCTTGTGTTTAAGAGCCACGTGCAGTTCCCTTCTTAGCAACTCTGTGGTTCTGTCAGTGGGCACCATTTTCTACCCCACCCCCATTCAGGGGCGCTGTCTTCGGTGTTGCTGATTGTTGTACTTGCTGTGTGACACTGTTGTGGGGTGGGCTGAGTGTACCCAGCCTTTCCCCGCGTTGGGACATTTAGGGGTTTTGCGGCTTTAGGTAGCTCTGTAGTAACCCAAGTTCTTTCTGCTCCAGGGCATCTGAACGTGGCTGCAGCCAAGCCTGTGGCAGGATCACAGTGTCCACAGGCGAGGGCGTGCTCAGGGGTTTGCCTCCTTCCAGGCTCGGACCCCGTCCCCTGGGAAGTCGTAGCCTCCCAGCTTATGAGCAGGGGATGGCTCTGTCACCTGATTTCTAACTCTGGACTCCTGTGGTTCCAGGTGGAACTTTTGGAACCCCTCCGTCTGTAAAGCACACCTGTGTCCCAAGTGAGGGGCAGGGCTGGCCCTGGGGTCCAGGTGTTCTGAGTGTGCCATGGGATGTGGAGGGGACATGGGGCTCTGGGCAGCCAAAGCTCCCGGGACACTGGCTCCAGCTCTTCCTGGGCCCGTGGCCAGCTGACCACTGTGTCTGTTGCTCCCGGGCGCAGGTACTCCCGAGTTCATGGCGCCCGAGATGTACGAGGAACACTACGATGAGTCCGTGGACGTCTATGCCTTTGGGATGTGCATGCTGGAGATGGCCACCTCGGAGTACCCCTACTCGGAGTGCCAGAACGCGGCCCAGATCTACCGCAAGGTCACCTGTGTGAGTCCACCTGGCCCCTTGGTTAATTAATAAGGACATGGAGGCCTTGGGCCGTGCCCTGGGCTGGGCTCCATGTGCCTCTGTGAAGCCCTCCTGGCAGCTGGGTAAAGAAGGAGATTGGCCATTTTACAGAGGGGGAAACGGAGGCTTAGTAGGGGGTTGGTTACTCCAGGTCTCCTACCTGAAGTGATGGTGGTGCATGGGGCGCTGTGGGCAGTGCTTAGCCATGGAGGCTGTTGCTCTCACAGCAGGGACGGTGGGGAGACTGAGACTCAGAGCGGCTGGAGCTTCACCATAGCCCCCTGCCCGGAGGCGTGCCCAGGCCACCCATCCCCAGTGCTCACACTCTGGGCTGCCCATGGCTGCCTGCTTTCCTATCTTATTTTGAAACAATGGTTTGATTTCTTTTTCAGCTAAACCAGTCACCCCTACACCAAGTGTGTCTCTAGGCAGTCGTTAGCACCGGGCAGCTGGGAACATTAATCCCTGTTTTGCTGTCGCTGTGGTTTTTTTTCTTTAATCGGATGGCTTCAGCTGCATAAACAGATCTGTCTTGTCCTCCCTCTGTGGTGGCCCCGCTGGGTGGGGGGAATGCAAACAGAACATCTGGAAATGGAATGGCCAGGCCGAGGCTTTCTGTGCCTGTTTTCTGCACCGTGCGTCTTGTCGTGAAGCCCAGGGGCCTGCAGAGCTGTCCCTGACACGTGGTGTCCACACTGAGGGCCCAGGCTGCCCTGATCCCTGCAGTCCCTGCTGTCTCCACATGCTGCCTGACTGGATGGGGCCGCGCTGCCCCTTAGTGCTGCTCTGTGGCACCGTGGCTGCTTCTGCCGGTGCACCAGGGGCTGTGGTCCTCAGCAGCTGTGCAGCCTCACCCTGACCCATCCCTCCTTCCTGAGCCCTCCTTGCAGATTACTTGCATTTCTGTCCCTTGGTTGTTGTAAATCATCAGTCGCTTGGTTGTTCTGAGCCCCTCCTGTGTGCTCTTGAGGACGTGGGAGGGCAGACAGAGTTCTTGGCTCACTTGTGGGCCTGGGTCAGAAACTTCACAGACAGGTGCACAGTTTTCCATGGGTGCTGGAAGGAGTAGGGACCTGCGGGCTGTGTGCAGCGGCCCTCCAGGGAGGCAGGGATGGTCTGCAGCAGGGGGAAGTGGGCGCTCCAGAGATCAAGAGCTCCATTTGCCAGGACTTGGGGTGCTGGTGTGGGATGGGAGGGCCCCTGGGTTCACTGTGGAGGGTGGATGGTGGTCTGTCCGGAAGCCATCCCAAGGGGCTGGTGGTGCTCCTTGACCCTGGGGGTGTACACTACTGGGCAGAGCCCTTAGGTTCTTCACTCCTATGTCTGCCCCAGGCTGGGGGCTCCAGCAGCCTCGGCAGATGGTCGTGAGCCCCTACCGTCCTCCCTGACCTTGGGAAAATTTAAGCTTTATATTCTGTGTTTTAAGAGTCAGGTGAAGCTTTTGAAGGCTGGATCATGTTGAAGGAAGAAGAATGTGATAGTTGGTACCCTCCATTGTGTTTAAAATTTTTAAAAATTAGTTGCTCATACACCGTCTCACTCGGCTTCCAACACAAAACAACCTAGCAGATTGCAAGCGGCACCTGGCCCCGCCCTGCTACTTCTGAGGTTTGAGTCCGATTGCAGGGCTTGCCCTCTGCTCCCTTCATGCACAGCCATCGGCTGGGCGAGGAGCCACCGTCCCTCAGGCTGCCACCTGCACCCCCCTGCAACAAAGCCGCATGGCCTGGCCCTTTCCCAGCAGCAGTGACCACAAATAGTACTTCTGCACACTCAAGGAGGAGGTGTAGGGAGGAAGCCCAGGCGTGGTTAGAAAGGCCTGGCTCTGTGGGAGGCGTCCCATCCTCCGCGTCATGGCGCTGCCTCTGCCAGCTTCCTGGCACAGGGGCCCTCATGGCCCTACTTGGGAGGCTCGGTGAAGCTCTGATCAACACCTTTCCAGAGACTGACTGCTGCATTTGAGGTGTTAACCCCAGTATCGAATTCTGCAACTTAGGTGGAGGTGTGCAGTGTGTTGTGGCTGGGGTGATGGTGGCTTTGACAGACATAGGGTGACCCAAAAGGTTCTAAATGGTAGGAGACCAGGCTCCTGGCTTCAAGCAGTGGGGAGGGGAGACCTTGGAAGGGAATTGCAGTGGTTTCACAGAATTCTCCAGTTTATTCCCTGCTCTGCTTTATCTTGCTTCATCTATGGGCATAGAGTTTCCATCAAAGTTGTGAATTTTTCAGCCGTTATGTCTTTATGTTCCCTTATCCTTTTTGGGATTCCAGTTTTGTGGATGTCATGTGCCTATGTGACCTTGGTAGCATTCCAGATTCTGAAATGAACAGAATAGAGCCTCAGTGACCATTTTTCTCTGCTGCACCACATCTTCAGGTTCACTTGTCTTTTTTCTGCAGTGTGTAATCTGCTGTCAGTCTGCTGAGGTGAAGTGTTCGATTCAGATGTACTTTTCATCTTGAGTTCTATTTGGTTCTGTTTTTTTTCTTTCTTTTTTTTTTTTTAGACGGTGTCTTGCTCTGTCGCCCAGGCTAGAGTGCAGTGGCCAGATCTCAGCTCACTGCAAGCTCCGCCTCCCGGGTTTACGCCATTCTCCGGCCTCAGCCTCCCGAGTAGCTGGGACTACAGGTGCCGCCACCTCGCCCGGCTAGTTTTTTGTATTTTTTAGTAGAGACGGGGTTTCACCGGGTTAGCCAGGATGATCTCGATCTCCTGACCTCGTGATCCACCCGTCTCGGCCTCCCAAAGTGCTGGGATTACAGGCTTGAGCCACCGCGCCCGGCCTGGTTCTGTTTTTATCTCTCATTTTTGTATGTTCATTTTCCTTTACTACTTGTGTGTATCTGTGTAGAGTTTTCACCTCCCCGTTGCAGCCCCTCTCATTTGCAGGTCTCTTTCTGTTGGCCGGCTTTTCCGCAGGCTCGTGGGCCACGTTTTCTTGCATCTCAGCATTTCTAGTAATTTTTTATTGGATGCTGTACATTGTACACATCCTGACCTGTGTGAACTCTGCAAACTGCCCTGCGTGCAGCTCCCTGTGGTTCTTTGCCCGGCCCTATGGCGTTGACTATATACATGTGGTTTTGTGTTCTGGTCCTCAGCAAAGGCTGGAGGGGACCCAGGTGCAGATACTTCGGGCTCTTTTTTTTTTTTTTTTTTGCTGTATGCTCTCTTCTTTCTGGAATTCTGCCTGTGGCCTCCTCAGCCTCCCTGAACTCAGCTCCACCCCTCAACTCATGGGGGCCACAGGGCTCTGCTGGGTTATGGTGCCTTGTTTGGGAACTGCTCTGGGCAGTGAGCTGGGGCCATGGGGGATTGTGTCCCTTTCTCCCAGAGCCCGCATTTGGCACCGCCCTGTCATCTGTTTCGCATACTTTGCCCAGTTTTCTAGTGGTTTGTGCAGGTTAGTCCAATGCCCATGTCCTGCCGTGACTGGAAGTAGGAGTTCCTCCCACCGTGGTGGAGACCTCGCCTTCCGCGGCCGGTCGGGTCAGGTAACTCTGCTCTCTCCCTGTCAGGGTATCAAGCCGGCCAGCTTTGAGAAAGTGCACGATCCCGAAATCAAGGAGATTATTGGGGAGTGTATCTGCAAAAACAAGGAGGAAAGGTGAGTTCCCTTGAAGGGCTGGGTTCTGGGGTCCGTCTCCAGCTGAACTCATTCCAGCTGGCATTGAGAACTGTGTTCTTGATGAGAAGACTTCAGGACAGACAGGTTCAGGCCAGAGTGTCTGGGGCACGTCAGCAGGGGCTGGTGGGCACATCGGTCCTGAGTGCGTGTGGGCGACGCCAGGCCAGGAGTCCAGGCCTCACGTCCTTGTCGGTCATCTGGGAACCCGCTCCTTGACTTTGGGGACAGCCCCCTCCTTGGCTTTGGGGACAGTCCTGTCCTTGGCTGGCTGCTCTTCCAGGACCCAGCCTGTAGTGTCTGAGCGCCCGGGGCTTCCCCAGCCCGTCTGCTGCTCCCTGCATGACTCCCATGCCAGCGGCTCTAGATGCGGGCCTCCCTTTGGAGCCCTGACGTGTATTTCGTGGACCTGGTTGGTTGACCCTTCTCAAAAACAGCAGGCCTGGAACCGCTCCACAAAGCCGGCTCCCCACCTCCAAGCAGGGTCTGTCCTTCCCAGCCGGTCAGGCGGAAGACTGGGGGTGCTTCCTCAGCCTTCCCTCCCCCTCACACTGGAGTACACCCACCATCTGATGTGACACCCCTCAGCAGTAAGCAGAGGTGGATTGTGGATACTCGGAACCACACAGGTGACTCTGGAGCACATACAGAGGAAGCCAGGCCCCAGAGTGCGTGCTGTGTGCTTCCATTTACAGGGTAAAGGGGGTTAGGTTGGTGGTTAGGGAGGCTTCTTTGGGTGGCCAGGCCGTGCAGAGCCCCGAAGTGGTCACAATGGCAACAGCCTATGGCTCGCCCTCCTGGATCCCGCATAGAGCCTTCGAGGCTGGGTCTGGCTGGGCCCCCGGTTCTGCAGGTCCTCTCCTGTGGCTCGCCCTCTGCCCTGCTCTCTGTCAACTGGCCAGCGTCCTGAAGGAAGCCCCCTTGAAAAGGTCACTTCTTCATGGCACTGGGCACAGGGAGCTCAGTGTGTGGGAACTCTGCCTCTGTGTCCATTTTAGACCTACCCAGGACTAACACTAAAATGTTTCAGTTATATCTTCTGGCCATCGAAAACTGGCTAGAGCATCCACAGGGGCTGTATTTGCATAATGGGAGGACTCATGTTTTTCTAAATCCTCTTTTGTGTCATTGAATCTTTTGTGAGCATGTTTTTTTGTTTTTTTATTAATAATGACGGGGAATAAAGGAAGTCTTAAAACACTATGTGTTAATAGTAAGACCAGATTCACTGAAATCTTTCCTTCACCCCTGGGAGTGCTGAGACGTGAGGCCTGGCCTCAGGCACCTGCAGGTGTGCCTGTCCTTGCCTTGGTGTGCGTGGCCACAGGAGCCTGGGCATGGAGGCCCTGGCACCCGTGCCCCCGCCTGTCAGCTGCTCTCCCTCCAGGTACGAGATCAAAGATCTGCTGAGCCACGCCTTCTTCGCAGAGGACACGGGCGTGAGGGTGGAGCTCGCGGAGGAGGACCACGGCAGGAAGTCCACCATTGCCCTGAGGCTCTGGGTGGAAGACCCCAAGAAACTGAAGGGAAAGCCCAAGGACAATGGGGCCATAGAGTTCACCTTCGACCTGGAGAAGGAGACGCCGGATGAGGTGGCCCAAGAGATGGTAAGCGGGACTCAGGTGGGGTGTGGCGGATGCAGGTGTTCGCAGCTCGTGGCTTCCAAGGATGAGAACAAAAGTGGGCTGCGGGGTCTCGCTCCGGAGGGGACTGCGAGGCCGGCGGGTGTGGCGGTGCCATCCAGGCAGGTGTGGGCAGCTGAGGTCTCACAGCCCGGTCACGTCTGCCTAGGGTCTGCACAGGGGTGGCCTAAGTGGGAATCCGCTCAAGGGCACAGCACCCCGGGGATTAGCAGCTCCGAGCCAGTGCAGTGCAGGAAGTCAGGGTGGGTGTGCAGAGAGCAACCCAGGACCTCTGACTTGTCAGAAAGGCCTCGCTTGCTTTGCCGGACTCTTGCTGACTTTGTGCCGATGTGGTGGCTTTGAGTTTGGGATCTTTGCCTTTCCTTTTGTTTGGGGCACTGTTGTATTGGGTTTCTGGGATCTGGGACTTTTCTACCTAGAAGGGCGGGTGGGGGATACCTTTCCGCCTCTTTTCTTCCTCCTTCTCCTCCCATCATCTTCAGCTCTGTGGATGAGGAGTGGTTGGGCCGGGCAGCAGAAGTGCCCCTTTGTGCTGGGGCGTCATCTGGGCCTCAGTGGAGGGGGCACTGAGCCGGCTGGAATGAGAGGCAGAAGAGACAGAGCCACAGGCACAGGCAGAAGGGAGTGGGAGTGGTCCAGACGCAGTGGTAGGAGGAGAGGCCACGCTGACAGTGCCGGGGGTCAGTGATGGAGTGGGAATTGTGTGGGATGTGGGGACAGGCACAGCAGGTGGGATGGATCTAGATTATTCTGACTTGATTCTCAGGTCTCTGCCATCTAGTAAAATCGCCACTGCCCACATGTGCTATTAAAATATAAATTAATTAAAATTTAAAATCTACTTTCTCAGTCCCACTGGCCACATTTCAAGTGCTCAGTACCAAGGGTGGTTAGTGGTTCTTGTCTTGAGCAATGCAGGACGTTTCTGGCCTGGAATGTTCTGTGGGGCGCTGCTGCCGTGGGGCACTGCTGCCCTGGGCCAGGGGCTGTTAGAAGTTCTTGGACAAGCGGGCTTTGGTCACATCCCTGCAGATAGGGCATGTTTGCTGGGCATTGGGCAGTGGACGCCAGAGAGGGACAGTGGTGGGAGCCTGGCCTGGGAGGGCCCCAGGACCAACGCTGCCTCCTGAGAACCCTCACGCAGGGCCTAGAGACAGACAGAAACGTCTTTGTTGTTGGCTACAAAACATGAACAAATGTTGACATTAAGTCAGACAACTTGATACGAAGGACAGGAATGTCTGCACCGCAACAGGTGAAAACAGAGTCACAAAGGGGAAGACCAGTGGGCACGAGAGGCTGGGAAGAAGGCGGTTCGTATTGCAGGGTAGGAAAGTTGCGTATTTTCAGTGAACACCCGAGCAGAAATAAATCCAGTGTGCTCATGGCGCAGAGCCCTCGGCTCATGTGTCCTGACCACAAAGGTGCTCGCCCTTTTTTCTGTCTTTTAAATAAGCTTTTTCCTGAATATGTGACATGTGTTGAAAATGTCCGTCAGTCACCAGTTCCAGGCTGATGATTCTTCCCAAGCTTCACTTCTCCAGGCCGGGCTGGGTCTCAGTAAGGGGAAGTGGATCATACCTGGATGGGGGTTGCACAGAAGTGGGAGGGGTGGCTGCTCTGGAAGGTTCTTGCGAAGGTCTCAGTCAGGTGCAGAAACTGAGGCTTGGCGATGTCGTGAAGGTGCGTGGGCCCTCAGAGCCAGGAACGCTGGGGTGCAGTGAGCTGCGTGTTTGTCACAGACTCTGCTCCTCCTGGCAGCTCCTTGTCCGTGGGGGTCCTGGTGTGTGGTGCATGAGGGATTCAGTGGGCCACATGGTATAGGCTACACCATGAGGTCAGTGCAGGGAGCAGCGGTCTCTCGGCTGGACTTCCTGCAACTGTGATCCCCGAGGAAGGAAGCAGGTGGAACGGGGCCACTCCTGGGGCTGAGGGCTTTGGGCTGCATGAGCTAAGGTCCTGCTGGGGTCTTGGCACGCTTCCTACTGCTCCTAGCCTCTCCACAGCTGTAGGATGGGGTGCTTCTGGTGTGGACCTGAGTGCAGGGCCTCAGCACCTGGGACTTGGATTGGAGGAGATGCCTCCTCAGGCTGCCAGTGCCTCAGCCAGGGCTCTGCCTTCCCCTGCACAGTGGCCCATGTCCTGGGCTGTGATAGCACAATGAGGATGGCTACAGCATCCCACTGTGGGGTGATGCCCAGGCTGGCTTCTCTGTGGGGCTCCTGCAAGCTGGCTGCACCATCACCCCAGATGCTGCAAAGTGGCCACCTGTGTCCCCACCCGGCCCACTCTCATCTGGGTTGTCTCTGGTCACATCCCTGACCCAGACACAGAAGCCTCTGCTATGAGCAGATCTAACGGGGTTGATGAGCTCTGTGCTTCCTGGAGGATCTTTCATGGCTCTCGATGACTGTGTGGTGCACAGAGGTACATTTTCAGATCGAATTGCTCCAAGTTTGCTGTGAATTACTTTCGGATAATTAGCAGCACATGTGTCCTGTGACTTCAGGTGCATCATTTCTCTGCTGATGTAATACAGCTGTCCCTTCACACATTCAATGCAAATAGCAAGTGCTAAGTGAGGTGCTGCACAGGCTGTGTACAGCCTGCCAGCTAAGGACTGAGATGGTGGCTGCAGGCCAAGAACATCTTTCTGGAGGCACCTGGGTGGCCGCTTGGTGGGAGGGCTGAGGTTTTGAGAGGACAGAAGGTGGCCTCGAGGGAGGATGAGGATGACCTCTGGGAGTCTCACGCACAAGTGAGGATGAGGAAGGTCCTGGGGCAGCTGTGCTGGCTCTGCCTTGCAGGGAGTTACCTCTGTCCCAGTGCTGAGGTCTGGGCCAATGGCAAGGATAGGGGAGGACATTTGGATGACCTGGTTTTGATGTGGTGACAGCTCAGGAAGGACAGGAGAATGAGGCGCTCTTGTTCCTTCCACGAATGTGTTTATGCTTGGTCAGTGCTGGGGGGACAGGGTACGAGGGACTGGGGAGCCATGTCAGGAGGCCAAGTGCTGCAGCGATGGCTGAGCGGCAGAGGGGACATCACAGCCGGCTCAGCGCTGATTCCAATATGGGTGGTGCAGCCTGGGGAGGGGCCCAGGATTCTATAGGAGCAGTGTTGCTGCCTCCAGCGGACCTCATGGCCTCCTTGCCTGTCTTGGGTTCTGTCCTAAGGTGGCAAAGCCTAGAACCTGCCCTGGGCCTTGTCTAGCTGTTCCCGAGACAGGCGAGCAGGAGGAGACTCACAAGACTCCGACTCCTCCCTGCTTTTCATTCACATGAATACTCGGCCTCCCCAGCCCCGCCCGCCTCCTGCAGGGTCGTTGAGGATGCAGCTGTCCCTTTAACCTACAGCCTCTTGCACCCGTCACCACACAAGTCCCCACCCCAGCAGTTGGCTGAACTCTGGGGCTGTGTTCCTGTGTCAGTTCACAGCAGAGGCCCCTTGGCCCCAGCATCTTCACCCTCTTCTGCATCTTTTACATTTTTTTCATGGTGAGACATGTCTCCTGTGAAATAGAGCATCCAAGAAGAAGGGACACGACCTGTGCTTGGCTAAAGCACAACAATAAACAGCACCTGCCCCACTCTGCTAAGAACAGGGAAGGCAGCACCTCAAGAGCTGCCTGACAGCAGTTGGAAGCTACATGCGCCTACCTTGGGTCTCACTCCCTGGAAACAGCTTGTGTGCCCCGGCAGGTCGACACTGGGTCTCTATGGGGCCTTTCCAGGTTCTAACCTCATATTCCTCCTTCCCACCCATTTCAGACACCAGAGTCCGTCACTGGCCTCCCTGGGGTCCTGACACCAGCCCTGCCATGGGCCCTAGACTGGAGGGGCCTTGCCATGATGCAGTGAAAACAGCTTGATGTCTGTATATCTGCTGAGGCTAGAGAGACACTAGCACCTGGCTCTGAGGCCGCTCTTGTTCCTAACATCTGAGATTAGGCTGGGTGCAGTCACTCACGCCTGTCTTCCCAGCACTTTGGGAGGCCGAGGCAGGAGGATTGCTTGAGCTTAGGAGGCCTTTGCCGTGAGCCATATGCCGCTGCATGACAGCAAGACCCTGTCTCAAACAAACAAAAGTCCCTGAGATTAGCAGGTGTTGGGTCTTAGAGATGTTCCGGAATCCAGATGAGACTTCCTTCTGGAAGGACCTGAGGGTGGGAGAGGATGCAGATGGGGCAGAGCTCTCTTTCCCCTGAAGTCACCTCTCAACGAGTTCCACTGGGCGGATGGAAGGGGCCAGATGGAGCTCCCCAGGGAGAGACAGAGGAAATAGCGGGTTCTGTGGGGCCTGGGCCAGCTTCGATCTGGAAGGGACTCTGGGAGTCGGCCCCCAAGGGGATTCCCAGCCAGCCCTCCCCTCCACCTTCATACTCTCCTGATAATGCGATGTGCCTGTGTGGCACTCACCATGGCTAAATGTTTTCCTGTTTGGGAAAAAAAATAGAAGAAATACTTTAGAGAGGAAGGCTGGGGGTGATGATGAAGACAGAGTCTCCAGGGAAAATGGGCTGCGGGCTGCGGCACCAGCAGCAGATAGTAACGGCAGCAGGAGGACGTGGCCTCGGCAGCCTCTGGTCACGTATCTGGGCCAAGGTGGGCAAGGGTGGGGCCACGCCCTGGATATGACCCTGAGGCTACATGGAGCCTCAGGAATGGCCTCACCCACGTGCTCACTAGGATCAGAGGCCTGGGCCAAACAGGTCTGGCAGGCTGTGCATACCTGCCCCTGGGTGCCAGTGACAGGGACACCTGCTTCGGCCTCCCTGTGAGACCCCCTAGGGTTGGAGCCCGTTCTCTGGGGCTCCCTAGAAAAGAGTTCGCTCTGGACTCTGAGCCAGAAGAGAACCTGGTGCCTCGTTTCTCCTCCTTCCCAGCTGGGCTGCCCTGCTGCTGAGTGGCCTTGGGGCTGGTTTGGGGCCAGTGGTGACCCTGAGTGTGGGCAGGTCCCACTGACTGAGCTGTCACTCTCTGTCCCACCTCACTGACCCCCCTCCCCCACCCCACTCATGTCTCTTCTGAGTCAGGGGAGACTGACCGCAGCTGTTTTTGTTAGGGAACGTCATTCTGTGGAAAAAAATTGTCTTTTGAAACAAAGATTTTTGAATAATCACAAACACTGAAAAATTGCAAGGACACTACAAAGAACCATTTATCTTCCACGAACCATTTGAGACTAAGTGGCTGACCTGATTCCCCTGAAGCCCTGAATACTTTCATGTCTGCTTCCTGAAACTAGGGCACGGTCTTGCATCCGGAAGTACCATCAATCCTCAGCCCCATCCTCCCATCCTCGGGCCACTCAGGTCCCCAGTTGTCCCAGTGACACCATCACGAGGTCTCTGGGCCCCTTCTGTGCCTGACTTCCATGTCCTGTCCCTAGGGACGGGCTCAGGCGTCCCTCGTGGGTGGGTCACAGTCAGGTCTTGCGTCTCCACAGGAATCTCGTGGAAGGGGCTGAGTTTGCATGTGTTTCCCAGGGGTGCACGGCTTCACCCGCCGGTTAGGCAGATGCTGGCTCTGAGCTTGGTGCAGGGCGCCTGTGGCTTCTCTAAGTGGAGCTCCTCTCACCTTTCGCTACTGTACGTGTCTCATGGAGAACGTTTGGGCACTGGAAATATCTGTTTGTCACCAAGCTTCCCGCTTATTTCTTTACCTGTCTGTGGCCTCACGGTTTTCTGTTTTACTCAATGGGTCCTGCTCCACAGATGAGCTGTCCCATTGCTGCCTAGCGAGTCACTGGAAACGCCCTGGCCCCAGCCTTGGAGGTCAGGGATCAGGTGCCTGGGCTCAGGGCCCCAGTGAGGTAGGATCGGGTGTTGGCCAGGGCTGCAGTCTCAGACCCTGCCTCAGAACTCAGTTCTCTGCCAGGAGGGCCTCTGCATAGGGTCATTTGTGACATGGCTTCCCCTAGAGCAGATGAGCCACAGGAAAGGGAGGGAAAGAGACTGGGTGAGGGAGCCACAGAGGAGAAACAGAGGGAGGGAGAGATGGAGATCAAGAGGCCACACTTACCCGCCGTCCCCCACCTGATACCAGCAGTGACACCTCGTCCCTCCTACCACCCCCCATATGGAAAATGCGTGTCAGAGTCTGTGGACATGTCCTTCAAACCGTCATTGTGTTACTGTGCATTTTGATGCTCAAAATGCCCCAGATTTGCCAGCGGGAGGCCCTCGGCACTGGCTCCCGTGCCGTTTTGCACGTCCCTGTCACTCTGAGCACGTCCTCACTGTCAAGCTCATCCTGTCCTTCTCCTGCCGAGCTGGGAGCTGCCGCTTCGTGGAGCCTCACCGCGTTCCTGTCCTGGCTGAGCTCCACGCCCTCCTTGCTGTGGGTCCTCCTGGTGAACTCAGTTCACAAGTACACATGTGTCTGTGCATTTACACCACGAAGGTGTCGTGAGTCTGCCTGTGCAGTCTGTCTGTGTTTATTCACGTCTGTTGTGCGCTTCACACCAACAGCTCCAATTCCCACCCGGCAAAAAGGTTCCTGTTGAAAATGTTTACCTCTCCACACCTGAGGAGCCTGGCGTCCACTACTCCTATATATTTTCTTGTTTGGTCACTTTTGCGGGGTCGCTGGCCTCCAGTGGTGCTGTCACCACCTCCCCTCCCCCACAGCTGTGACTCCCTCTGCGCCTGGCACTGCCCTGAAGCCAAGATGCTCTCCTGCATGGGCACCTCTGCCCTACTGCAGAGGCCTGGCTGGTCCAGCCTGACCTAGCGCCTTTAGAACTGAGGTGCTCAGGAAGGGAGGGGAAGCGCAGGTGGATTTGGAATCTTTGTTCTCCCGTATTTTCATGTGTTTGTGATCACTACAACTGCAGCCTGGCAAGAGTGGCCCCTTCCAAAGGGATCTCTTTCATCAGAAGAAAGAAGGTAGTTATTCCGCGAATATTCTCTGCGAGCTTGGTAGTTATTCCGCGAATATTCTCTGTGAGCTCATGATGTTTCCTGGAGACCTTGGGGCTCTTTTACAAATGCCCTCAAGGTTCTGCTTGGTAAATCAGTTTTAAAATTTGCCAGGCATCAGTGCATACCTTACTGGTCTAATACAAAACGCACATCCTTCCTCCATCTACAACTCGGGTGTGGCCCCGTTCCCCATCTTTGGGCAGCCCCAGACTCAGAGACATTTCAGGAAAATGCTAGCCCCAAAGCTCCTTGTCACCACTTCTGAGCATGGAGACAAGCAGGAGCTCCATCCCATCCGCCACCAGCCCGGGGGTGGCCGGGAGCTCAGGGAGCCCTGAAGTCCGGTCCAGGGGCTGCTCTGCTTCGCTTTTGGTGCGGACTGTGTGGGAGGCAAGTCAGGCCTGCGTGGTGGTGGTCTTCCTTTGCCTTGCCTGGCAAACCCCTGCCATGCCATCTCTGAGCTGGCCCCGCGGATTTTACGCTCAGTGGCAGTGGAGTGGCGAGTGTGTCCTATGTGGATGAACCAATGATGGGAAAGCACTTTAGGTAAGGGGTATGGGCCGGCGTGGGCTGATCCCCTGCGATGCTGACAACATGACTGCCTTTACAGATTGAGTCTGGATTCTTCCACGAGAGTGACGTCAAGATCGTGGCCAAGTCCATCCGTGACCGTGTGGCGTTGATCCAGTGGCGGCGGGAGAGGATCTGGCCTGCGCTGCAGCCCAAGGAACAGCAGGATGTGGGCAGCCCGGACAAGACCAGGGGTCCGCCGGTGCCCCTGCAGGTCCAGGTGACCTACCATGCACAGACTGGGCAGCCCGGGCCACCAGAGCCCGAGGAGCCAGAGGCCGACCAGCACCTCCTGCCACCTACGTTGCCGACCAGCGCCACCTCCCTGGCCTGTGAGTGCTCAGGGGTACCCCTCCCACCTAACCTGCAAAAACCAGCTATTGGGAAAGGAAAATGAAGTCCTCTGTCTTTATTGGAATGCTTTGTGAGGAAGGGGGTCAGCATAGCATCCCCTCAGAGGAGACATGGTGCAGCTCTCAGCTGTCCTCACATAGCGTGGGTGATTGCTTTAGCTGTAGGTGGTTCCCGGGAGTCCTGGCTGGGTGCCTGTGCCCCATGACAGGCTTGCCTTCTGCCAGCACCCTTGGTGCCAGGGCATGTCGTGAACTTCATAAGAGAGCAACTTTCAGGGTGGTGGGGCCAGCAGACCCAAGCACTGGGATGTGCAGGGCCTGATTCTGTGACCAGCCTGGGGCCGGTCCCCCCAGCCCACCATGCAAGGTGTGGACTCTAGGTATGGGTGAGCCCCGTTTCAGGGAAGGGACTGGGGCTTTCTCAGCATTTCCCGGTGGTCTGTAACCAGAAGGAGATTAAGGTTCACAGAAGTCCATGTTCTCAGGATAGATGGGGACAAATGGGCCCTGAGCCAGCGAGGTCTGGTACAGCCAGTTCAGTCCCACTCGCTGCTATGGATCTGTGGACTGGGGGCAGGTTCCTTAACCCGTCTGAGAATGACAGTTCTGGCCCCTTGGGGGGAATGTGAAGGCCAGGTGAGGTGGCGGCTGCGGCTGCTTGGTGGGACATCTGTCCTGGGAACAGAGTGTGCTGCTTGCTGGCTTGGCTTGTGGTGTTGCCATGGGGATCTGCCATCCCCAGTAGTCTCTCCCTTCTAAGGCAAAACCTTTAGGACCTTTTGTATATTTTCAGCAGGGTGTTACTGATGAATTGGCAGGAATCACTTTGGATCAGCCTTCATCTAAGACCATTTAGGGAGAACCTAGCATCTTCTGCACATACAGGCAGAAAAGTTCCTGCCTGTGCCTTCCACATCCCAAGAACTCAGCAGTGAGCTGAGGACTGAGGAACATGGCTTTGTTCATTCTGTGAATACACATGGGATAGAATGACAGAGCCAGGGGACCTGCCCGGGCCAATATTTCAGATCATTCATGTGCAAAGACTGAAATAGTCTGTTTAATTTATTTAATATGCACGTCCTTCATTTATCATTGAAATGGCTAGTTCTTGAAAGTAGGCTATTTAAATTCAAACAAGCAGTCATCATGTCGAGACCGTTCGCCTACTATTTATGTCACTCAAACCTGCGCAGGTTTGCTTTGGAGAATAAAATTGGTACATTATTGCTCCATTTTCTGATACATCTAAAAAATTAAAGAGCACAGACTTTTTGTAAGAAAAAATTCATGTCCGACACAGCACGACTCACTTTTAAATCATAATTGTGGGTTAAACAATTTCTAGGATGGGAGTTGAAAAGTCTCCTTTTTTCGAACTTTGAAGAGACATAGTTTGAGGATATTTCTGTATGTTTAGCTTGTGGTCAGATAGTCGAATTCAGGTTTGATCCACTGTGGGAAAATCAGATGGAGGCATTGACCGACTGATGATTGCAGTTCAGGTGTGGGTGTTCTCTCTGCAGACAGGCCCACTTCCAGACTGACTGAGAAGGATTCTGTGTGTTTTGTGCAGAGGCCATGGCCATGCTTCTCAGAAACACTTTTTTTTTTTTTTTTTTTTTGAGACGGAGTCTTGCTCTCTTGCCCAGGCTGGAGTGCAGTGGCCGAATCTCAGCTCACTGCAAGCTTTGCCTCCCGGGTTCACGCCATTCTCCTGCCTCAGCCTCCCAAGTAGCTGGGACTACAGGCGCCCAGCACTACGCCCAGCTAATTTTTTTGTATTTTTAGTAGAGACGGGGTTTCACTGTGTTAGCCAGGATGGTCTCGATCTCCTGACCTTGTGATCTGCCCGCCTCAGCCTCCCAAAGTGTTGGGATTACAGGTGTGAGCCACCACGCCCAGCTAATTTTGTATTTTTAATACAAAATTACAAATTTTTAATATAAAATTTTGCATCTTAATACAAATATAATAATACAAAACAATAATAAAACATGTAGCCTACCACACACATAGAACACACACAGGCACACATAGAACACACACAAATACATAGGCACACATACATATGCACATACATGTGGACACTCACACGTGAACACCTGCACACAGACATGCATGCCCCACATGTGTGTACACATGCATGCCCACCCTGCATGCACATGGACACTATGTATACATGTGAATACCCTCCACAAATGTGAGCACATTCACATGCACACATACATGCACACATGTCTGCACTCATACATGAATATGCACTTGCACACTCACATCCACATGTGTGCACACATGTACACCCTTATCCCCTTCTGTTTCATAATGGATAGCACCCCACATAGCCTTCTTCACCTTGCTCTCGGATGTGCCAGGTAAGAACAGGAACCCCATAATCCAAGAAGAACCTGGTCTGTGTAACAAGATTGGCACATAGACACACATTAGTGCATTAGAAGATGCAACAGTATGTCAGTTTTTACAGTTTTCCCTTGTGTTTTCTTAAACTGCCCATCAAGTGTCCTGACCAAGCGGGGGCTTCCTTGGTGACTCCATTTAAGCAGCTGATGACTGTAGTAGCACATTTGCCAATAGTTTCAAAAATGTCTTCTAAAATGTTTAATTGTGTAAGTAATGAACTCATTCACTTTTTTTTTCTTTTTTTTTTTGAGATGGAGTCTTGCTCTGTCACCCAGCCTGGAGTGCAGTGGCACAATCTCAGCTCACTGCAACCTCTGCCTCCCAGGTTCAAGTGATTCTCCTGCATCAGCCTCCCTAGTAGCTGGGACTACAGGCATGTGCCACCATGCCTGGCTAATTTTTATATTTTTAGTAGAGATGGGGTTTTGCCCTGTTGGCCAGGTTGGTCTTGAACTCCTGACCTCAAGTGATCTGGCCGCCTCAGCCTCCCAAAGTGCTGGGATTACAGGCATGAGCCACCGTGCCCGGCCCATATTCACTTTATTTTTTATTTTTTTAATTTTTAAATTTTTTTTGAGATGGAGTCTCGCTCTGTCACCCAGGCTAGAGTGCAGTGGTGGGATCTTGGCTCACTGCAACTGCCATCTCCTGGGTTCAAGCAACTCTCCTGCCTCAGCCTCCCGAGTAGCTGGGACTACAGGTATGTGCCACCATGCCCAGCTGATTTTTTTTGTATTTTTGTTAGAGGCAGGGTTTCACTATGTTAGCCAGGCTGGTCTCAAAGCCCTGACCTCATGATCCTCCTGCCTCAGCCTCCCAAAGTGCTGGGATTACAGGCGTGAGCCACTGTGCTCAGCACATATTCACTTTAAACATGTAAAATGTGGGCTGGGCATGGTGGCTCCTTTTGGGAGTCAAAGGTGGGTGGGTCACTTGATTCCAGGGGTTTGAGACCAGTCTGGCCTACATGGCGAAACCCCCTCTCTACAAAAGATAGAAAAATTAGCCAGGTGTGGTGGTGTATGCCTGTAGTTCTAACTACTTGGGAGGCTGAAGCAGGAGAATTGCTTGAGCCTGGGAGGTCAAGGCTGTAGTGAGCCGTGATCACACCACTGCAGTCCAGTCCAGATGACAGTGACACCTTGTCTCAAAAAAAAATAAAATAAAATAAAATAAAATGCTACACATATGGTTAGAATCGCTCTACTTGAGACTTGTCGGGTTCATACGTGTTCTCCCCTTCCTCCCCATCCTCCTTTCCCCTCCCCTCTCCAAGTGGAAATGACCACTTTATGACCACTCAGCTCATTAAAAATCAGAGCTGCCTTTCTGATTGGTTTTGCTCAATTAAACCTCAGCATTTCTTATGTCTTCCTAGGTTACAATAGGTTGTATCCATTCCTGGGAAAAGTTATTTTAACGCCAAACCAACAGGATTTCCCCTTTGTTTAAATTATAAATGGACACAATAGTCTGAAATGCAGCTCCTCGCGAAAATAGCGTGGCGTTTGTAAGTGGTAAATTCTAAACTTTCTGTAGCTTTTGGCTTCTGGAAGCAGTAAACCCAAAGTACCGTTTCAGACAGGTTTTCGTTTTCCCCTCGGCTGGCATGACCCCACAGGTGAAGATGGTTCCAGGCACACCGGGGTCCTGTCTGCGCCTCTGCTAGCGGGTAGGCCTGTTTGGGTTTGATGGGGGCCAGGCCAGCCTGAGCCATGTGAGGCCTCTGGGGGAGCTCAGGCCGTGGGCGCTTGGTGCCACCCCTGCCACTGCATCCACTGCACAGGGGAATGGTGGGTGCATTTCCCTCTCAAGGCCTCTCTGTGGGTGTTCGGACACCTTGGCCCCATTTTCCAGCCAAGTTAGTTCTGGTCCCGTGACCTCAGTCCCACACAGTGAAAACATCAGCTTTTTCTTACCCCGGACATTCCTTTGGCCTCCCAAGTCCCTTGTTCCCCTAAGAGCTGGAATGTGTGCTTGCCCCCCAGGCCGTGGCGGGCTGGTTGTGGGTACCTGTCTTGTGGGAGGGTTGGCACGATGTACCTGCCCTGACATCATGCTGGCCAGACATGGGCAGTGTTGGAGTGAGGCACAGTGACAGCGTCCCAAGTATAGTTCTGTAGCAGCCAATTGTATAAACAGTATGCACTGGTTATTTATGTCATCTGGAGAAACAGTCAAACCTTTATTTTGCAGAAGAAACTATGCAGATGAGCCAGTGTTCGTTCATGTGGTATTTGGAGATGTCCACTCTAAGTCCTGCTTTTGTCCTCTCCAGCGGACAGCACCTTCGACAGCGGCCAGGGCTCTACCGTGTACTCGGACTCGCAGAGCAGCCAGCAGAGCGTGGTGCTTGGCTCCCTTGCCGACGCAGCGCCACCCCCGGCCCCGTGTGTGTGCAGCCCCCCTGTGAGTGAGGGGCCCCTCCTGCCGCAGAGCCTGCCCTCGCTGGGGGCCTACCAGCAGCCCACAGCTGCGGTGAGTCAGAGCGCCACTCCCACCCCCTTCCCCCTCCCCACTATCTGTTCTGAGGGCCCTGAGGGCTCTGAATTCTATGATGGGCTGTCCAGGCTGCACTGCACTGTGGTCAACGTTAAAAGTGGCCTGTGGTCAGTGTCCAGTCACACTTCCCCTGGGGAGACATTCAAAAGCCAGGCCCAGAGGAAAGCCGCGCCCTTGCTGCCAGCTGCGGAACTGCTGGCCGAGTAGCCCTGATGTTCCTGTAAAGACCTACTAGATAGGAAAGACACTCTCTTGGAAAAGAGACCCCAGGACACCCAGAGTTTGGGAGGCTGTGATAGAGCTGAGTGGTTCCCCCTGGGGGGCGGGCACAGTGCTAATGGTGACAACCCACAGCCCCAGTCATGATACCCATTGACTTTGCCCTGGGTCTGTGACATTATCCCAGACTGTTCCACAGATCACGGAAAAGCATCATTTGTAAGAAGGAAACCTGAGATTCGATCTCACTGCCCAGCCTCCTGAGGGGCTCCTGGCACTTCTCTCCCACATACTATGTAGCGGTTAAAGTCAGAGCTATGAAAATAGGGCGGGGCTCAGGGGAACACTTTCGGGGAGCACGTGTGGCGAAGGAGTGATGGAGCCTCGGGCTGTGACGACGCGTGCGGGATGATTCCCACGGGAAGGACTAAGATGAGTGGGGTCACATTTGGCATGTATTTTTTTATTTTGATTTTTTCAAAACACTTTAGAAAGCAAAACACGGTGAAACCCCGTCTCTACTAAAAAAAAAAAAAAAAAAGAAAGCAAAACAATTGCTCTTTGCAGTCCCAAGTGCCCAGCCACGGAGGGGTTGCCCATGAGCCCCAGGCAGTAGATTGGTACCCTCAGAGGGTAGTTTGTTTATTTATTTATCTGAGACGGCGTCTTGCTTTGTTGCCCAGGCTGGAGTGCAGTGGCGCAATCTCTGCTCACTGTAACCTCCGCCTCCTGGGTTCAGGCAATTCCTCTGCCTCAGCCTCCCAAGTAGCTGGGATTACAGGCACATGCCACCACGCCCAGCTAATATTTGTATTTTTAGTAAAGACAGGGTTTCACCATATTGGCCAGGCTGGTCTCGAACTGCTGACCTCAGGTGATCCTCCCTCGTCGGCCTCCCAAAGTGCTGGGATTACAGGTGTGAGCCACTGTGTCCGGCCTCAGAGGGTGGTTTATGGGGTGGGCTGTTTCACCTCCCGTGTGAGCCAAGAAGCCCAAGCAGGGACATCACACGTGCAGCCACTGTGTACTCTGGGCCAAGCTCCTTCTTCCCTAGCGAGCAGCTCCTGCCTGGTGCTTTGGCTATGCTGGTTGTCACTCGCACACTCAGCACTGTGGCCTGTCTTCTTGATGCCGTCTGAGCGTGGGCACATGGGCTGTTCTGGCCTCCTCTGTCCTGCTGGCTGCCCTGCTGCACCCTTGCATGTGGGATCGCCCTTCCCAGGTCTGCTCAGTCAGAAGGGTGTAGAAAGGCCCTTTGGAAAAGCAGTTGAAGCTATTTGCCGAGTCTGCCTTTGCTGACTGCAGCCCCAGCACTCATTTGCAATTTGCATTTGCATTTTCTTCATTTCACAAAATGAAGTGAAATACAATTTTAAACAGCAGAGAGACCTCATTTAAGGAAAAGTGAGGCTGGATGTGGTGGCTCATGCTTGTAATCCCAGCATTTTGGGAGCCTGAGGCAGGAAGATCACTTGAGCCCAGGAGTTCCAGGCCAGCCTGGGCAAAAAACCGAGACCCTGTCTCTATAACAAATTAAAAAAAAAAAAAAAAAAGAAAAGGCTACTTGCTGCTCCAGAGTGGTGGTTCTTGGCTTTGAGGATTGGCTGAACTGGGGCTGGACTGGAATGTTCTGTCTGGCTCTCATTCCTCCTCAGCCTAGATTAGGGCTTCCTGTGCCATGTGATGCCACATGAGGCACTCCTGGCCTGGGCTCCCACTGGTTCAAGTCCCTCTCCTGTGGCCTGGGTGATGCTGCTGGTGTCAGCATCAGCCTGGAAGCCAAGATACCTGAGCAGGGACATCACAGGTACAGTCACCTTGGACCAGGGGCCCGAGTCTCAGTCTTCCTACCCAGTGACACAGAGACAACTTATTCAAAAAGGATGAGGCCTGGAAGGAGTCCCCAGGTGCACTGAGGGCTCTCCCTACCACCCCTCTGCCTTTCCTGGGATGGTTGCCATGGTGATGTGCCTGCAGCGCCCAGTGAAGCAGGAGAAGCAGCCAAGGAGGAGCAGCCGCCATGGGGCTGCCAGGCCGCCCTGGGGGCTGTTGGGAGCACGAGGCCACTTGCTCCTAGGCTGCCAGGCCCTGCCCGAGCTCCTGGGCTGTGCACAGTGCTCAGAGCTGGTAGACAGATGGTCCGGCCCAGTCAGGCCCATCCTCCACTCCCTGGCCTCAGGTGAATCCAGAAGCCCAGCTCGATCCTAGATACACTTGCTCCAACCACTCACACCACGCTGCCTTTCGTAAAGCACCCACCGCAAAAGACAAGTGAGGAGAGCAGTTTCGGGCATGTTGTCACTCATGTGATCCAGAGAACCGCACGGGAGGGAACGTTCGTGGCAGGGTGGGACAGCCACGATCCTCTGTAGCCCCGCCTGCTCCTCACATTCTCATTGTTTTGAAATAAATCCCAGACAGCAAGACACTTCCCCTGTAAATGATTCAGCCTCCGCCTCTGCACAATAAGGACTCTTAGAGAACAAAGCCCCATCCCATTATTACACCAACAAATTAACAAATTCGCAGCAATTCCTCAATGGCAGCAAATACCCATTCTGAGAGCTTAGATTTCCCATTTCTGTGGTCTGTGTTCGCTCCGCTGCCGGACTGCCCACACGCTGTTCCAGGGCCCATTTCGCTTCATATCGTCTGTGAGTTGTGTATATGTTTTCATCTGACGTAGTCACAGTCATACGGACTGTGAGCTTCCCCAGTTTAATGTCCTCGGGAGCCTTTCTCCACGGTTCTGCAAAGCCTCTGTGCTGGCCTTTGTTGTGGTTGTGTAACGTTCTGTGGGGCTGACGTGCCCGGGCGCCCCTGGGCTGGGGACTGTGCTGTTCCTGGCCCTTCACTGCTATGAATGATGCCCAGGGCCGCCTCACTGCTTCTGCTGTCATGTTCCTGGGAAGAGGGACCCTGGTGAGGACCAGGCACAGGGATGACACGAGACTACCCTGCCCCTGCCTGGGAGGGGGCCTGGTGGCCGAGAGCTGCTGCTGAGTGTGGCCCTGGTGCTCTCTGCAGCCTAGCCTGCCGGTGGGCTCCGCCCCAGCCCCCGCCTGCCCTCCGCCCCTCCAGCAGCACTTCCCGGATCCAGCCATGAGCTTCGCCCCCGTGCTGCCGCCGCCCAGCACCCCGCTGCCCACAGGTCCAGGCCAGCCAGCGCCCCCCGGCCAGCAGGTGAGTGTGGCACCTCCTGTGGCCACTGTCGCTCCAGGCAGGCAGTCAGCTCTGCTGGCCCCTGGGCCCAGGTCTGTGAGCGCCTCCCTCAGACCCTTTGCTCACATCCTCTGTGGTTCCCCCAGGTATTTGGTGTGGCCGAGGGATGGGGGTAACTCTCGTATGTGCATGTGTATATGTGTGTGTGTACGTGTGTGTGTGCATTTGCGTGCGTGCATAGTGTTTGCAGCACCCTGCACATGGAAGGCTCTGCTCCCTCAGAACATCTCTGCAAGATCTGCTGTGTCGTGGCTCCAGGCTGACTGGAGTTATCTGAATGTGTGTATGTGTGACTGTGCAAGTGTGTGTGCAGGTATGTGTGAATGTGAGTGTGTCCGTGTACATGTGAGGTTGAAGGTTGATATCCTGTCATGTGTAACCAGTGGGGTGTGCTTGTCTGGGCAGATTGGTGGTCTAAGAGGAGCTACCTTCTCTTCTTCCAGCCTCCTCCGCTGGCCCAGCCGACACCCCTGCCGCAGGTCCTGGCCCCACAGCCCGTGGGCCCCCTCCAGCCAGTGCCCCCCCACCTGCCATCGTACCTGGCTCCAGCCTCCCAGGTGGGGGCCCCTGCTCAGCTGAAGCCCCTCCAGATGCCACAGGCGCCCCTGCAGCCGCTTGCTCAAGTCCCTCCGCAGGTACTTCTAGGTTGATGGCTGCCATCAGTGGTGGCGCACGCTTTGCCAGGCTCTGGCTGGTGCACCAGGACACCCACAGAGGGGGTTGTCTGTGCAGGTGACCTGTGACCTCGGGCCGGGCTGGCCAGAGAGTTGGGGCTGGGCTGGGGAGTCCGGGCCGGGCAGCGTGGGCTTTGTGCACAGTCATATGCACCAGGAACGCTCCAGGGACCCACACAACCAGCCACGTATCCCTTGGTGGGTGGCTTGGCTGCTGTCTCCTGCCCTCCAGCCTCACCTTCTCTCCCAACCTGGCAGGCTGCTTTTGGTCCTTCCAGGCCATGACACCTTCTGGGCTGTGAGTGTCGGATGGGGTCCTTCAGGGAGGGTGGGCAGCCCAGCACCCCATCACCCGGCACCCTCCCAGCGACATGCCCATCTGCCCTCAGCGTACCCATGTGCCCAGGCTCATCCAGGATAGGAAAAGGCTTGTTAGTCCAAGGTTGTGGACAGCAGTCTTGAGGTGGTTGCTGGGCTGGCACAGAAAGCAGGTGAGTTTGCCTCAGAGGAGCGTTCTTCCTGTGGAGCTCCCCCAGGGCCGTGCGGCATGTGGCTCCTTGGAGTTCCAGAGCCAGCCTGTGGCATTGCTGACTGCAGGGAAGCCCAGCCAGCAAGGCTTGACTCACACAGCAGAAGTGACTTCTGCTGTCTCTCTCTGGGGACACTGTCCATCACTCGAGGGACCCGACTGCATGTAACTGGTGCAGAATGATTCCAGGGCCAGGGCACCATTGCCCAGGTAAATGGCATGGAGGATTCTAGGTGTTCCCGAGGCCTTCGGTGACCCAGACTAGAAGTGTGCTTCACTCTGAAGATGGGGCAAGCGCGTGTTCCTGTGATTCACGAGCCCCACCTGGAAGATTCTTTTGTATTGTCTCACCCTGCTCAGGCCCAGATGTCACCCTAGGCCGTTAGGCAGCTTCAGAGTCTAGTGAAATCATTATCTTGCTCGTTCAGACAGACAGGAGTTCATGTGCATTTTTGCTGCTGCTTGATTGCATGGAGGTGTAGGCCGTGACACACACCAGCATGCACAAGAAGGCTGTCAAAGATGGAAATGCTAAGTCCGCGTCGCTGGGTGTCAGCCACCCCCAGGAGGCACAGGCATTGCTGAGAAGATATAGGCGAGGTTTCGGGAGTCCCTGCTGTGGGGAATGCTGGACAGGATAGGGGTGTCCCCTGAGCCAGCTAAGGGGGCTCAAAGATTTGCTTTCTCTGAGAACCCTCTGAGAAGTTAGGTTTCAACTTGAATTTGTGCATGTTGCAGGGATCAGGCTAAGGTGATTTCAGATGCTCAGGGCCAGTCTGGTGGCCCTGACAGTCCCAGCCCTTCCAAATGAAAACTCTCCAGGGCTCTGAAGTCACTCCTCTATGACTCGTGGTCACTGCTCCTGCTGCTCACACTATGTGAGCTGCCCCTGACTCCCTCAGAGCCCCCAGCAGGGCTGTCGTGAGTGTGGACACAGGGAGATCTCCCTGCGCTGGACCAGGGGTGATCTAGCAGGTCATTCCCAGCCTGCCAACTTTCCTTTTCTATTTGAAGAGCTTTACATAGTTGGGATTTCTGCTTCTATTGGGTTTATCTTTGGGTTCCCTTCAACAGCAGCTACACAAAGGTGTCTCGGAGGGAAAGGGTCATGCTCTCTTCATCCCATGTCCCCTCGTCCCCAGTGACTGTGGCTGTCCTTGCATGCAAGTGCTGTGGTCAGGGACCCTGGTTGGGGCCCACACTGACACACTTCTGTGTCTCTTTCAGATGCCCCCGATTCCTGTTGTGCCCCCCATCACGCCCCTGGCGGGAATCGACGGCCTCCCTCCGGCCCTCCCAGACCTGCCGACTGCGACCGTGCCTCCCGTGCCACCGCCTCAGTATTTCTCTCCAGCCGTGATCTTGCCGAGCCTCGCTGCCCCACTCCCCGCTGCGTCCCCAGCCTTGCCTCTGCAGGCTGTGAAGCTGCCCCACCCCCCTGGGACACCCCTGGCCGTGCCCTGCAGGACCATTGTGCCAAATGCACCGGCCACCATCCCCCTGCTGGCCGTAGCCCCACCGGGCGTGGCCGCCCTGTCCATTCATTCTGCCGTGGCCCAGCTCCCAGCCCAACCTGTATACCCAGTGGCCTTCCCACAGATGGCACCCACCGATGTCCCTCCTTCCCCCCACCACACGGTGCAGAATATGAGGGCCACCCCTCCCCAGCCGGCACTGCCCCCGCAACCTACGCTACCCCCGCAACCCACGCTGCCCCCACAACCCACGCTGCCCCCACAACCTGTGCTGCCCCCGCAGCCGGCACTGCCTGTGCGCCCTGAGCCCCTCCAGCCCCACCTTCCTGAACAAGCTGCTCCAGCTGCTGCACCGGGGAGCCAGGTAATCACTTGCTGGCCAGGGGCTCACCCTCCCAGCGTCTGGGGACCCTCAGGACCCAGAGATGCAAAGGACTCCTGGCTGCTCTGTCCTCCCGCTCCCTTCGCTGGGCCTGTGCTACCCCTGAGCACCTTGACTGAGGGGCAGCTGGGGGCCAGGCAAGGAGGCAGCTCTGCCCGGGGTGGCCCCTCTCAGGAAGAGATGTGTGTGAGGTTGAGGGAGGTGGGGGCTGGCGCCAGCGCGGGGCATCTGCGTCTCCTCCGTGTTCTGAATGCTCAGGAGGTGCAGGAGGCCGTGCCTGATAGGTTCTGTGTCCCTCCCTCCCCACGGCTCTATGGCCCCTGCTCTTGTGGTATCTTTGTGCCTGCCCTCACCCAGGCCCGGTCTGGCAGCCTTGGTGTGGCTGGCATTGGGGCACAGGGCGTCTGTCTGAGGTCTGCCCTTCAAAGAGCACCTTGTCAGGATGAGGCAGGGTGACAACCCCATCTTAGGGAGGGTGAGGAAGCGAGGCCAATAGCGGGGTGGGGGCTGGGGGCAGATGGCACTGCTGGCTGCAAGGGTGGTCATGGTGGGACCTGGGGCCATGTCCTGGTGTCAGGTCAGGTGGATACCTCATGGCAGCATGCTGGCTGGCTGTGAAGGGGTGCTCTGGAACACAGGATATGCACCCCACTGGTGGGAGGCCTTCCCACGGGGATCTGCACCCCTACCCAGTCCACTCACGTTTTGGGACTTGCAGACTATTCTGTTCAAACTTGAGTGAGGAGAGAGAGGCTGGCATGGGAGCCTTCCCACCTGGGCATTCTTGCACCTGGGCCTCTTTACCTGGGTCCCATCCTTCCTGGCATTTTCCCACCTGGGCCACCTCACCTGACCTCCTCCTACCTGGCCTTACCCCAGCTCTGAGCCCTGTCAGTCCTGTAACTGTGGCACAGCCCTGCCTTTCGAGCCTCAGCCTCCGCAGGAAAGTGGCTGGCGTGGCCCTAATGTGAAGGGGTCTGGGGTGAAGCGTCCCTGGTGCCAGGTGCCCCCCAGGTGTTAGTGCTGAATCCAGTCTGGAGTGAGCTGCCCCGCTGTGAGCCGTCCCTCCTGGCCATCACTTCTTGCTGTCTTATCTCCAGAGGGCTTTGTGTGTAGAGAAGGAAGGGGAAGGGGTGGTACATATTGGATAGCAAGGTGGCGTTTGATTAGACAGTGAGTGGGAGGAATCGCGTGCGTCCTGTGGCCCACCTGAGTAAGCACTGTTGGTCCCAGCAGGTTTCAGCGGCAGCTCAGAGCCTGCTGGTTCACAGTCAGGTCTGTTTCTCAGAAAGCCGAGGGCCACAGCAGGGAGCAGGAGGGGGGCCTTGCTGTCTGGGCCTTCCTACCTGAAGAGCCTTTCTGGCCACAGTTAGTGGCTACAGAGGGGTGCCCTGTGACATGTGAGGGTCACTGCCAGACTCAGTGGCTGTCCCTGCTGTTTGGCTGGGGAAGGGTCCAGAAGTCTGTTGATGAGCTGGGCCGGCCACCCCGTGGGGTCCCCTGAATGCAGCAGCTGGGGTGTCTGTCTGTCCAGGAGGGAAGTGGCCACCGGCCAGGCTGGGGCTTGGTATTTCTGACCCGGCCACTGGCTGCCAACAGAGGTTCTCAGGGCCAGCAGGCCCAGTGAATGTGGCTGTTCCTTCCAGCCCTGAGAGGTGAGAAGTTCCTCTACATTTTCAGCCTTCCCACCTCCAGAATGGGGGAAGACGACAGAGGGTACTTGCACTTTCCAGTCCATGGTTCCTCTTTCCCCACTTGTCTTACCTTTTACTGCCGAAGAGCTTTTAGAGGGAGATGAGAACAGTGAGAGAGCCAAGCCGAAGCCGCCGTCGCCCTCCAGAAGGCGGCAGGTGTCGGTGCGCACTCTGAGGCCCTATGCGCGCTCTGACCAGGGGGCCAGATGGGGCAGGCTGCCGCGGGACCCAAGGGGTGGGGGGGCCTGGCTTTGATGCTTTGTGTGTCCTCTTCTCTGACCCTTCAGCCAAGCTTGGCAGGTTCATAGAGCCCGGTTCCTGACCTTTCCACACAAATAGACTCTTCCACAGAAAGGGCTGTGAGAATGCCTATGTTTGTTTGCTTCTGCTCACTCCATACGGCAAATGTGCTCTGAGACAGGGACTCCCCTTGGGGAGGGTGTGGACCGGAGAGGGGCATTCCCATCTTGGTCTTGGTGTTCCCAGATACACCTGGGAATGACTCCCTCAGTGAAGGCAGCACCGGCCCTGACTTGCATCTTGTCCCCTGTGTCCCCAGATTCTGCTTGGCCACCCAGCTCCCTATGCTGTGGATGTCACCGCTCAGGTCCCCACCGTGCCTGTGCCACCGGCTGCGGTCCTCTCCCCGCCTCTGCCGGAAGTGCTGCTGCCCACCGCCCCTGAGCTCCTGCCTCAGTTCCCCAGTTCCCTGGCCACGGTGTCCGTCTCTGCGCAGAGTGTGCCCACCCAGACCGCCACGCTTCTGCCACCAGCAAACCCGCCACTGCCTGGCGGGCCTGGGATTGCCAGCCCCTGCCCAGCTGTCCAGCTGACGGTGGAACCAGCCCAAGAGGTGTGTGCCCCTCCCCCCAGCTTGTCCCATGACTGGGCAGTTGCGGCCACCGGGGGTCCGCACAGTGACCTGGGGTCTTAGTCCTAGAGGTTGGGGTTGCTCGGCTCTGGGACAGTCACCCAGGTTCTGTTCTCACCTCTCCCTAGATTTCATACTTTCTGTAAGCCACATCAAGACGGAGGCTGTGATTTTTATAGATACAGGTTTAGAGGATGCTTTCCCTGGGACAGGATGCCAGAGACTGTGAAAAGCTTTCATAGCACCAATGTGTCCTTTTTGAGGGTTGATCAAAGTGGGTTAACATTTTTGGAAAGGAAGTGGCTCCCAGCTTTTATTAATCCACTTGGGTCCAAGCGTTTCAACAAGATAAAAACCTCCATGCCTGCTCCCATTGTGATGCCCCCCGGGTCGTACCCACCTGGCTGCAGAAGAGACAGGAGAAGGCAGGGGAGCAGGCTGGGCCGAGGCGGTGGGGAGGGAGAGCTGACTGCGCGACTGTGCCCACAGGGAGGCAGGAGCCCGCGTGACCCGTTCTCTTTTCTCTGGGTTTTTATTTCAGGAGCAGGCCTCACAGGACAAGCCGCCCGGCCTCCCGCAGAGCTGTGAGAGGTACTGTGGCCCAGCCTTGACCTCGCAGGACGGGGGTGGGGGCGCAGGCCCATACAGCCACTCAGCCTGGCTGCTGCCGCTGCTTCACCTGGAACCCACTGCAGTTCGCCCTGATGCCATTAGGGGTTTTTCAAACTTGACATGGTGGAGCCTCAGGGGCCTTCTCTCTGGGTCTTGCTGGCTGTTGGAGTTTGGTAGCCAGAGGCCCCTGGCTGGACTCTGGGTCTCTGCTCTGGTTTGCAGTGCTGAGAATGTTCCAGAACGGAGAGGCTATGGGCGGAGTTGGTAGTGCCCAGAGGCTAGGAGGGGGCTGGGAGGGTGGCTCCCTACGTACAGGGCTGAATCCAGCCCAGATCCTGGGTCTCCTGGCCTCCTGGGCTGTGGACAGAGGTGTTTCAGAAAATGAACTGTATCCTTTTTTGAACCGTGACCATTTGTTCCACCCTTCTGGGGTTCTGGGCACTGCCTGTGCTTGGCATTTTGCAAACTGCAAAATGGATTGGCCTCACAACAGTGGTGGATGTGTTTCTGTTGCTGTGGCACAGATGGGGAAACTGAGGCACGGGGCAGATTCACAGGTCAGGAGACCGAGAGAACCAAGGTCACGCAGTTAGTAGAAAGCCCGTGCTTCCCTCTGCCCGTGTCACTTGGGTGCAGCAGGGAGCTGGGTGAGGGCCCAGAAGCAGGCTTGGTATATTCGCACAGGACAGGGGCTGCCTCTGTAGGTCACGAATTTGGGCCCTGGAGACTCCAGACTGTTCCGAAGAAGTTGACTTTCCCCACCATTGCCAACGTGCTGGTTGTCCTTTGGTGCCATTAATGTTCTTGGGTTTTGCTCAGCTACGGAGGTTCTGATGTCACTTCTGGAAAAGAGCTGAGTGACAGCTGCGAAGGCGCCTTTGGAGGGGGCAGGCTGGAGGGCAGGGCAGCCCGGAAACACCACCGCAGGTCCACGCGCGCACGCTCCCGGCAGGAGAGGGCCAGCCGACCCCGGCTTACCATCTTGAACGTGCGTCCCTGGTGCCAGGTGCCCCCCAGGTGTTAGTGCTGAATCCAGTCTGGAGTGAGCTGCCCCGCTGTGAGCCGTCCCTCCTGGCCATCACTTC